ATCCCATATGGGTTCGCCACGTTTCGAGCAGGCTACCCCGTAGTATGGATCCAACGTCGTCTTCCCTCGGACTGTTGTTGTTGTTGGGGGTGGTCCTAAGGTGAATCCTGAACCTGTTGGGATAATGATGGGGGGAAGAAGAGTGGGTTGACCTGGTTCGGTGGTTTCTTCAGGGCCCAGTGTAACAGCAATTTCGGTGGACCTAGGGGTACTTAAAGACTCATCAGAAGTGAGCGAGATGGTTTCTTCAGTACTTGAAATTGTCGTGACTTCACTAGGCGCCACCTCCACCTCAGTACTGGAAGTTAAAGGACTCAGTGTTTGGTCCACACTTACTGATTGTGTAGCCATAGCTGTAGATCCTTCTGAAATAATGGTAACAAGGGATGTATCTGGAGTTATTGCCAAAGTGACTTCTTCTTCAGTTGTTGGTTGTAAAGACGCCTCGGGAGTTTGTTCCTGCTCCGATGTTCCAGGAGTTGGCCTCCCAGGGGTGGGAAAAGGGATTATAGGAACAACAGGAGTTGGAAATCCATAGCCTCTAGTCGTTGTAGTCGTTGTCCGAGTTATTGGTGAAGGATGTGAATCTGGAGTGACGGTCACAAGAGGAGTGACAGTTGTCCAGGAAGGTGGCAGAGTTTCCGGTGAAGAATCTGGTGATATTGCTCCAAGAGTGGTATATTCACTAATTTCTGGCGTGATAGATGTTTCGCTAAGGCCAGCTGTCGTATTTTGCGTCAGAGACGTAACTAAGGTAGAAGAGACCTCTTCGATCGGAGTAGCGCTTGTGTCAGTTGGCAAAGGTTCAGGTAAAACGGTCTCAGTTGGTGTGGGGAATGGCTCACTTGAAAAAGTGGAAAGTTCTTCGGTTGTGGGAGTTGTCCACCTTTCAGACGCTAGAGTAGTAGGAGAACTGCTGGAGGATTCGTCTATAACAGTTGGACTTATAGATAATTCCTCGCTTGTAACAGTTGTCGCCGAGCTCCTTGTAAGTGTCGTCGAACTCATTGTGACAGTTGTCGTGTCTTCAGGCGTGGTCAAAGATCCCCACGGTGAAGGCGGTGTAGAAGGTGATGAATCCGGAACAGATGTGTAAGGTGTGAATGTTTCTTCAGGTGATGCTGTTGTTTGTGGTCCTAAAAAGAACAACATAGTGTTTCTATTCAGGTGACTTTGCAGAGACTGACCTATTGGGAACCAAGGAATAGATCCACGGTGAGGTCCATGATAGGTCGAGGATGATAAGCCAGTTGTGTCAAAGTTGACGCATTCGCGACGGGGACCACCTAAATCACGCA